GGTGCGAGGTGAGGGGCGGGTACAGGGGGGACCCCAAAACCCACCCCCCCACATCACCCTCCCCATACGTAGTGAGGTCGGGTGTCAAGGAACCCCAACTTTTGGGGGTCGGTGCTCTGGATGCTCTGGATGTTCAGCTCCAGGATGTGCTTGAAGCGAGGCCACAGGATGTCCAGTAGCGTGTCCCAGTACCTGGGTGGTGGTGGGGAGACACACACAGATTTGGGGGGGTCCCTGCAGGATTTTTGGGGTCCCCCGGGTGGGTGCGTTGTCCCGCCCACTCACTTATCGACAGCAGGGATGTTGCGCTTGGCCATAATGGCTTTGAAGCGCAGGACGATGTGGATGCAGAGGAAGATGGCGATGCTGTCGTAGCAATCGCAGACGTACGCTTCCATGTGCTTCTACGTTTTTTTTTGGGGGGGGGGGAACAGAGACAGATGGACGTGTCAGCCAGTGGCTTTGGGGGCCCCCCCAAAACCCCCCGGCCCCCCCCCCCCCCCCCCCCAAACCTCACCAGGAACATGGTCAAGGTCTTTCCCATGACGGCGTTGAAAAGATCTTGGGCGCTGGGACCCGTCACCATGAAAAAGTCGCAGAGGAACAAATACTCGCGGCAACTGTTATCCAGGAGAGCGTAGTGCTGGCTGCGGAACAGTGACTCGAAGGGGTACTACGGACAGACAGAGGGACAGACAGAGGTCAGGATACCCCCCCGGGGCCCCCCCGCCCCGTAATTCCCTCCTCATAACTCACTCGCACGTCGCTCTTTTGGGCAGCGTGGGGGACGATGATGGGACCCTCCAGCTCGGCCGCCCCGATGACGCTGCCCCGGTTGCCCAGAGTGAAGACGGTGTTGCGGTTTTTCAGTGAGGGCTTGGAAAAAAAACGTGATGGGGGGGCAGAAATGACACAATAACGGGGGTCAAGGCAATAACGGTGTGTCCCCAGCCTCCTCCCTCCCCCCGCCAAAACCTCTCCCCTGTCATCATCTCGTCCCCCATGATCCCAGGATATCTTTTTTGGCCGTGTCCTCCACGCCCATGAGATCGTCCTTCTCGGCCACCTCCTCGTACTGCGGGTGACAAAATGGAGGGGAGTCAGCACCCAAAACACGTCCCCCGTTGTCCCCAACACGTCCCCCAGCCCCCCAAACCCCACCTGGATCTTCATGAGGCGGCTGGTGTAAGATTTGAAGTAGGAGAGATAAATCTTGCTCATGGTGTCCACGTACTGCTCCCGCAGCTCCTGTGCCACTGTCCGCTCGTTGCCCAGCAGGAACTGGTAGAAGAACCTGCTCGGGGTGAGGGGAGAAGTTGGGGTACCCCCCCTGCACCCCCATTTTCTTCCCTGATCCACCCCCCAACACCTCACCTGTACTTCAACAAGGCATTTTGGGGGATCTGGTAGTTGGTCATGGGCTTGCGGAAGGAGTAAATCTTCTGCAGGACAAACTCCCGGATCTTGGTGACGGCCTTGGGGGGACACAGGGATGGGTTGGGGGATGCTGAGGGGTCCCCTGGGTGCTGGCTGGGGTCCTTTGGGTGCTGGTTGGGGCGTCCTCACCTTAATCTTGAGCTTCTCCAGGACGTGCTGGACGTCGGCGCAGGCCACAGTCTCCCTGAATGCCTGTTCCTTCACCGAGTTGATTTTCCCGTTCAGCTCCTGCAGCTGCTCCAGGAATTCTGGCTCCGTCACCGGCGCCTCCAGGATGGTGCTACGGTGACAGAAAGGTGACACGGGGCCACGGAGGTGACAAAAGACCTCTTTCGTCCCCTGTATCCCACCTGATCATGGCGGCGGGGACGACCAGCTCATCCAGGAGCTGGCCCAGCTGCTCCCGTACGGCCCGGCGGTTCTTCAGCCGCAAATTCATGGCCACCGACTGCTCTTGTAACGTCCGGATCTCGGAGCTGATGCTGCTTAGGTCGCATTGGAAAGCGCTCAGCATCTGTTCCATACGCTGCCGGGGGAGGGGGGACACACAATGAGGGGTCAGGGGACACCTTGGGGACACGGGGCGGGGGGGGGGGGGGGGGACGGGGACAGCGGGCAC